AAAAGATTAAATATTGAATGAGGATACAATATAAGCCCTGTCTGCAGGGCAATTACATCAATGTCTAAAAGAGACAAGGGGAATTTCTGTGAAGCACCTGCTGTGATTAACTGTCCCAAAAAATGTGTTGAAATATGGACACTTTAAATGTCCTTGTTATTGGCCTGCATTAAATGAAGGTGTCTGTCTGGAGCAGCCGAGGTGGCACAAGATTAATTGAGTGCTGGATGCTTTCTGCTGAGCGCAGGGCCACAGGCCGAGTGAGGCCTGGACCAGCCCAGTGGAGAGACCGTCTCATTAATATATGATTAATAGCCTCTTGTGCAGTGATTAATTAGTGTTTGTGACAGTAAACTTTTAACAGGCCTCTATGTCGTCAGCTGGAATGCTCATTTATCTTTCAAGACCCCAATAGCCTTCCTTCTTTTCCCGTCCAGAAAGAGCAAATAAGTTTGCATATTCTGGTCTTGTCTGATTTGATTCTGTCGCTACGGGACACGCTGGCCAGGAATGAGCGGCCTGACATGATTGATTGCTTTGCTTTTTTATTTGCAAGTTGGAATTTGGAGAAGTTTTTTCTCTACTCTTTCTTTCAGTGGCTGCTTTTTTCTCCGGTTCTCTTTTGGTGTGCACTGCGCCTCAGGCTCATTGGTACAGAAATATCTGCCGCCTCTGCTTCAAAATTGATTTGAGGCCGTTGGTGTATGAGCGTGTGTGTTTTTCTCACAGCTCCTCTGAAACTACATCCTCCGCCCTCCAGCTCTTTGCAAACTCAAACTCAAATGCACATCTACAACATCGACACGGACCAAACTTTCATTTATTTTTTGCATCAGCGACTGCCCCACACACACGCCTGGTGCAGCACAGCTTGTGCTCAGACATATGGACATTAACCGTTATTTTTTTCAGTGCTCACAAAGTCGCAGATGGTTGCCCAATTTCACAATGCTCAAAAGTTGCCGCCTTTACAACATCCCTCATAAAAGTGACCAAAAATGCACAGTTTAATAAAAAAAACAACTAAATGAGCTGATTTGATCACCATTCATCTCAAAATCTCCTTTTAATCATGTTCGTGTCCACACTGAAGAAGCAGCTGTGGACGACACACACACACAGAGCAGTCTGGCTCGTTCTTTCTCCTAGCAAACACCAAATAACATGGATTTAATGCCTTTAATGATAAACCATCCAGAACAAATACTTTTGTCTCAATCAGAATCAAGATATTTTTAATTTCCGTTGTTGATGAACAAAACTTTAGACATAATTATTTGAGTGAATGAATGAATGAATACTTTATAGCTAAAAACAATTGTAAAACCTTGATTGGATTTAATTTCCAAAATCTTGTTCAATATTTCTAAGTCTAGTTTCTAAGTTTAGTTAATACTGCTGTAAATTAAGTTACTTCACTGCTGTAAATTAAGTTACTTCACAACAACTCCAAATGTTGATGCTTGGTCCGGACTTTTCTATTTCCTATGATTCCTAAGATTTCCTATTGTAGATGTTTCCTGTGGTCGGAGAAATCAGAGCCTCCCAAGGAAACCTAACTCCAGAAAGGCCCTGTTCCAACTGGGATTTGAACCCAGGACTTTCTTGCTGAGAATTGAGAGTGCTAACCACTCAGCCACAGTGCACCATTAGAGAGTTCTATGACTTTAACAAGACAATAGTGCCACAGTGATGGAGTGGTTAGCACTGAGGCCGCACAATAAGAAGGTCATGCGTGTGTATTTCAATGTCCTGGACCCAAGCAAAAAAGTAGACCCTTCACTTTTGATCCGTGGTATTTTAGTATTATAATAAACTCTTAATATCTTTTAATTGTATCCTTTTTGTTTGCACTATCCTTAACAAACATTGTCTGTAGAATGATGCTGTTCTGAATAGTTGTGTCCTCCTTCATCCAGGATTCCACCACAGCCAACTCAACATGGCTGAGATTAATCAGAATATATGGCCTTTAATATAAAAGCTTGTCTGCCTGTATGTGTTTTATTGAGTTTGCAGAGGCGAGTGGATCACAGGGTGAGCTCTGAGCCACCTGCACACCCTCCACACGCCACTTATACAATAAAAAGCCTTTTCTGGGAATTTGCTTGAAAAATACCTGGACATTCTAACATGTCTGTAGAGTGGAGTAACTTTACTTTAGATTAACTTCATTGTTGATAATCTCTTTAACTACAGGGGTGAGCTACTGCCTGAGTTTTTCTTCCTCCACAGATGCCACAATAGCTCAAGAGCCCCACGCTCTAATCCCATCATGCTTTGAGAGGACTTGCCTTCTCCCTTTATCTGATTTACAGTAGGCTAATATCACTTCAGTAGGCTGCGGCAGTAGCATATACATCTAGTGTTACTGGAAACCTCCAAGAATGTCACCAGGCTGCTTATGCTTCATTTAGAGTTAACCAGCAGAAAAGAGGACATTCTCCTCATTGTGCAACGTAAATAAGGAGTGTCTCAAAATAATAGTGGGTTAATCAGATCAGCTGCACTCTAATTCCCTGGTCATTGATCAGTGCTGATCCTTAATAGGGTTTTGCGTGTGGCCTGAGTTGTTTGGGAAGGATGTAGTGCTATTTAGCCTTGCATTGGTTGTGGTGTATAGAACAGGGGCGGGCAATTTATTTTCACCTGGGAGCCACATTGGAACTGCCCTGTTTTCACATTTTATTCAATTTCATTTGGCAAAACATTTGAGCTTAAGTCATAATCTATAAGGGCTGTAAAGGGGGGGTTAAAGGAGCTCATCAAATAAGGATTTTTTTAAACATTCACTTTCTATTCACTCGAAAGCTGATAAATGTTCACTTATTGCACTCATCAGTTGTTTTTTAAATGCAGTTGTACCACAACCGCACTCATAAAAACACATTGTGGTAGGGGAAGCCAGAGCACCTGGAGGAAACCTACGCAGACACAGAGAGAACATGCAAACCCCACACAGAAAGAGAAAACATGGCAAGAAACGGTCATAAAGCTTTGATAGATGTGATGTCTGGTGCAACTTTCTCTGCCCTATACACATAAACAACAAGACATATAATTTATTGATAACATTGTTGAACATTGGAGCATGCTAAAGTGTATCGCGCTGCCTCGTGCTTCTTTTTATTGCTCAGTCTTAGATTACATTGTTTTGTTCCATGACATCATATTCTGTCTTCCTTTATTTTGAATGGGATGAGGTTGCTCACCACAGTCCATGCAAATCAGAAGCCTTGATTTATGCACCTTACCGCAACGAATGGAACATTAAATTTAATTTTGCTGTTGTGGAGCTGTGCCTCCACCTTGCTCAGACTTGACACTGTGAACCGGGACCTGCACTGCACAGGAATTCATTACTTCTCCACAATATGCGAAAGCAACATTTGAATGAAACATTTGTCTCTTGTCAGAACAGTGCAGCGTCTACTTCCTCTGTACAGATATATGAGCGCGGGAGGAGGGAAGCAGCGCTGGTCTCTGACTGTAACAAAGCAGTGACTCGCATAATGGTGGCACATTAAAATGAGGCCTGTTGGATGTGAGTAGCAGGGCAATCTGTTTTTCCTTGTGATCGACCATTACTGCTTTGTAATGACATGGAAAAAGGCTGCAAGTAATGAAATGTATTTTTCCTTTGCTGCCGACATGGACTATGTGCTGTACCTCAGAGCAGGCCATAAGAGAATGGAAATAAAAAGGACACGTGGATAATGATATTTTTATGTGTGTTGTATTTGAGACGAGTATAATTTAGTAAATGACACTGGGTAAACCTGTGTGAGATATTATGTACCTGGCGTTATAATACGTGGAGCTTCATGTTTACAGTTCTGCCGCTCAGTCTCTCTGGGCCGCTCTCGGCCAAAGTGAGAGCCAGATGCAAATGACTTTCCAAGGTCCTTGTGATTGCTCATTAACTTTCTGTGGGCATAAGTCCTAACTTTATTATTGACTGCACAGAATACACAATCCACCGACCTCTGCCACCGGCAACTAAATCTCTCCCGTCCGATCCATTGCACTGATTTCTGCAACGAGCCAGAAAACAAGAGCCAGCAGTTTAGTCACCTTAAGTGTTTACACACAGTCCTTCCTCACATGGGGTTCATGTTGACCAAGCAAACCCCTCCACGTCCACCAAAGCCATCACATGCATTAATGATGATGAATCACTTTCAATTATTATTTTACTCCGTCTTTAATAGAACTAAAACACACACAATCATTGCGTTCAACTCAGTCCATTTGCATCTCGCTGCTGAGAGGGCTTTGTCTTGCATTAAATATTTACTAAAACGAGGAGAAATCGGTGCTTGTCATTACACGTGTGCTCCCTGTAGAGCTGGGGGGAAAGCAGTGCTTATGCAGATCAGGCTTTGGGAATCAACATATTAAAAGCAGCTGACATTTGTCCTGATATATTGAATCGTTAGCACGACAGAATCACTTAAGCTGGATCCACTAACATCAAGTTTCCTCCAGTTATTGACCCTCACAGGCCAAGGCTGACAAGTGGAACTGCTGCAAAGTTCATTAATAATGTGAAATAAATCAATTTGCCTGGAAATACTAGGACCAGAGCAGAATGTAAAGATGTTCAGGTCCCTCACCTTCATCCAACAGGATTGACTTCCTCAATCTGTCTTACCTCAACTCTCGCAACTACAATACATCTGTATTTACACATGTAACTATTACAATCTTATCATTTTATACCGTAATTATTATTGTAATTATTTGTATATATCGATTGTATTTGGATAGTTAAAAATGGCTTCTTCTGCATGTGATGATCATATGTGTTTCTCCTTGTGTCATTTGTAAACCTGAACTTAAACATTATGACCATGAATATATATCACTGTTTGCATTAATCTGAAGTATAAAATGTGCTGTTCTAAGTGTGCTGCTGACATGCAGCAGCCTCACTCCACATATTGATCTCCTCCCGTTATTGAAGACTACATTTAGGATCAAACCTGTATTTAAATTTCATGCCTCACAAAATCTGCCACATTCGCTTTTGCAGAGTGCCGCTCTCCACGTCTCATTTCTTCATCATTCTTCGCTCCATCGATTCCTCTGCTTCATCAAGTGCCCACACTGCAGCCGGACCCTGGCGCTTTGGCAACAGCGTTCTCATGGTGCTGGAAAGTGCACCGTCAGCCATCGGGGGTGTCCTTCATGTTGTCACCAGGGAGGAGAAGGTCAGAGCTGCTGACAGAGGAGGAAAAAACGGATCACTTCATTTACCATTCCTACCTGAGCCGGGATCAGACCTCCGCCGCCATGATGGAGGAGGCACGGCTGTGTTCGATGAGTGGGACCCTCCAGATTAGAGGTAATCGATACTGCTACAGTGCATCAGGTAATGGGATGTTACCAAGGACAAAACATGTAAAAATGTAATACAAGTCTTATTTTCTTGAGAAATCTTTGTTTTATTATCAAGTGCTATAACAAGTATTTGTTCTTTATAGTACATGAGGTCCAAAGGGCCCGTGGCAGGGGGCCGTAGGACAGGAAGTATTTTTCCCCTATCAATTAGACAGGGCAATGCAGGAAAACGGACACATAGGAGCTTTTTGCGGCTTGGTACACCTTTATTTCAGGTGAAAACTATTTTCAACACAGCGTACGCCTTGTATAGTTTGAAAAAATTCTATATTTTCAACAATGAGGAGGATTAAGTGGCTGTTATAGTGGCGACAGTGAAGCTCTCGTCTCTCTGGGATCAGCAGAGAAGCCACTGAGATGACAGTTGGAACAATAATTACATAAATAGGACTTAAATATTACTTTAAACAACATTTGAGGCGAGGAATATGACCCTGTATTGTTGTTTTATGTCTTATTATTTTATCTCCATCCAATCGTGTTGTAACCACTTAAAATGGTCGTTTATCGGCTTTGTATTTGTCTGTTTACATTACAACATAAAACCCCGTGGCTTATTTTCATATTTGTATGTGGAAAAATATACTATACTCTCGATTCGAATTAAGCTAGTGCGGTTTATACAAGTGCGATTAATAGTCCAACAAGTACAAACTTCTATCACTAATTGTTTCATTCTTTTACATACAGTGTGTTTAGCCTTTGTCACATCTTTGGATCAGCTTTTTCAGATAGAAACGTGAAAGAGAGAGGACCAGCCCTCACTCAGCCCAAAAGTGTCAAACTATGACTCACAGGGCTCTTTCTTTCAAGTATTCAAAAGATTATTTGTTGTTTTCCAATATAAGATAAAGACAGAATGTTATGGTCGGATTTGTTCACAACATTTTACTTTTCACAAAACTCTTTATATTGGGCAAAACAACTTGGATTATTTTAAATGAAGAAAGTTAGGTACCCCAGCTTTAAGGGAAATGTGTCCTCTGCATTTGACCCATGATTCCAATCACACCTTCTTTGAGCTCCATCTCATGTGGTGTGAAGAAGACTCCACTCCTTTCCTCGTGCTGCGTCAGCTTCTTTCTGGCCCACCTCAGCTCTGTGTGATAGAAGTCGTTTTGACCAGGAGCTACCCTGGTGCTGCAGCTCATTTGCTAATTGAAAAGTGATTGACAAATCGGTAACCACTGCCTCATGACCGGGAATCCCCTCAGCCAATTTGCACCGTCTCACCTCTGAGTGCAGATCAGCCCAGGCTCAAGCTGAGGGTTCAATATAAGGAGTCGTGTACTTCATGCACACAGCACTTTGAAAGAAATACAGGGGGAGGAGAGAGAAGTAAGTAAGTAATCTTTATTTATATACCGCCTTTCACAGACCAGAGTCACAAAGCGGTTTACAATTGTTATTTTTATTTTTAATTTTTAATTTTTTGGTTACTTGTCCTCTCACTCCACACAGAGATGGGAGCGGGGTCGCCGAACAGGAGGCGCATGCCAGACCTATTGTACATATTTTTAGTGGTAGGGGAAACCGGAGTACCCGGAGGAAACCTACGCAGACACGGGGAGAACATGCAAACTCCACTCAGAAAAGGTGAATGCCGCTTTCTTAGATTATCAAGTGCTCTTCAAGAACCTGTGGAGAGAACTTTCTAAACACTCTATTGCAATGACAACCCTATATTGGCAAGGCAAGATTATTTGTATAGCACAATTCATACACGAGGAAACTCAAAGTGCGTGAATCTGAAATGCAGCTAAAATCTGGAATATTAGATGAACGTACAGACATGTTTGGACCTTAGTGTGACTCAGGTGGTTTAAATACTTGCGGGTCTCGTGATAGACATCGTGAAACATTTTAGAATAATTACAATGCGTCATAAAACATAAGTATACACAGTTCTGTAGGTTTAGTTTTAGCTCAGTTTTTTTAACAGAATCATTTCTATTGACTCAATGTCACAATATTGAGAGTTAATTACTTTCACTAAGTCAGGTTTAATTTCAGAAAATATATTATCATATTTTTGTCAGAGTTTGTAAACGTCTGCTTTTCACTGTGTATATGTCTGAATATCACATGGAAAATAATTTAACAATACGGACACATCATTCATTCCTGAAGATAGAAATTATAATCTGAGAATATTTAATCATCTCATTAAGTTATTAAGTTATAAAAGTTCTTTATTTTGAATGAACTCATTTTCCATTGAAGTACAAGGACATTACATTGATAACTATTTGGTTCTGTACTCTGTTGTCACAATCGTCTTTTCTGAGAAATAGACATGATTCAATATTCTCTCAGATTTTGATTGAAAAAGTATTCAATCAAAATCTGATTGTAAAGATTTTCTGTTTGAAGGATAGTGATACGTCCATAATAACACGTTTGCTTATCTCAGAGGTTATTGTATAATATGTGGTGACATGTGTTTCCAAAGGTGAATGAAATCCCTTAAGTCTTCCCTTAACTCCAGACGTTCCATATGAGCGCTCTCTGAGCAGTCACTAATGAATCCTGCTCATCACCACAGGAGGACATTGTCGTCAATGAATGGCAGCATTACATGCTCAATTTAGTGCTGTGTTCTTATCAATGGCGGCCTGACATAACCTCTGATTTAAAGAGCTAATTAGCTGGAAAAGAAACATGTCAGTGGGGACAAAAGCTGTGGCTCCTACAAATGCCTGGCTGCCATAGATACACTTGTTCTGCAGCGCTGCGTGCCCTCAGCAGATAATGGTCACGGGCTTCTCTCTGACTGAGCCAATGTTTCTATTCACAGCCCTGTTATAAATTTAGTTGTGATGAGACACAATTATCTTTTACCATGTTTACTACACCCAGTGAATACAGTGCAACAAGCGGAGCTCAAATGAGCGTTGTATTAATGGCAGTAAAAAAAAATGCAGAGACAATAACTTAACCAGTGAGAGGTGTATTTTGTGCCTGTACTAAGCCTGGATAATTGTAATTATAATTCTTATATTTAAGTGTATTTAAGATACAATATGAGAACCATAATTTATCCCTGAGTGTGTTTTTATTGTAGGACTTGAAGAAGACTCAAAACATACATAATAAACAGCTGTCAATGAAATAGAATAAGTCAAATATTTATGTTTAAGTTTAACCGATAAAACTATAATTGCACTTAGGAAAAAGTATATTCGTCTCTTAAATTAAAACATGAAATTAAGGACCGTATGCCTTAGCAGTATGCCAGATGAGCAAACAGTGATGAGTTATGCTTTAGCAGCAGTAGGAGATGGACAGAATACATAATTATGTTTAGTAGTGAAGCTGTTTACACATGTTTTCATTATTACTGCTGTTGTTTCAATAACACAGATGATTTGCACAAACCTGAAGGAGACTTTCACTTAGGTCCCCATAAAAATATATTTATATTTATGGTTAATTAGCAAATGTCGTCCTGCTGGAGGCAAAGACGATTAGAAACATTTGTGAACATTTGCAGAACTGTGAAAAGCTCCGACCAGCGCCTCTCTCTTCTCTGACACTAAGTGCTTTGAGTTGGTTTTGGAGTAATACTAATAGGACATAGCATCTGAAATGATCTCTCAAATGTCTGTGTTGGGAAAAAAACATGAACTGTTGCTTTTGGCGGGGACTTTGGAGCCACAATAACACACTGTTAGTGCTGTTTCTTCTTTGGCTTTTGATGGCAATGGGGAATTTATGTGACGGCAGATCTATCTTATGGGCCAGCCCATCTGCCAGGAGCTGCCTCAACTGGCAGCCATTCCCAAACATTGCAGATTGCTAATGTGGCATTAAACAATAAATGGACAAAGCTTTGTTCCTTAGTAATTTCTTTGAGCCGTCAAAGTCAGCAGCTGCATGATTCTGGTTTTGCTCATAACGCTGCTGTTTTCTTTTTATAAGACCATTAACTGGCAACAATACACTGATGCTGCAGAGGCCGCCTGCACGAGAAGATGTTCATATGTGATGCACGTGAACATGTGTGGTGGAAGACTATAAAGACCCTGACATTAAGATGAGAAAGTGATACAACATGAAACACTATAATTGAAGGCTACAAAAGTGCCCTATAGTAATATGATCACACATTAGGACAGACTTGTGTGCTTACTTTGGAAGTTACAACAACACTTACCGTCATTAAAACATTTTCAAAATCAGCGTGAGTAAGAAATTGGATGACAAAGAGGAAAAAGAAATAGTTGCCGATGGTAGGATATCTGGGTGGCTGGGCCAGAGCGGGACGTCCCGGTGTGAAGCCTGTTTTCTCTGCACACAGAGGGCACTGGAGCAGCCCGCATCTCGGCAGTCTGCCGTTCGCTTGCTGCGAGACGTTTATTTTTGCATACATCGTGTGCGGCAGCTTAAATATCTACATTATCCCCCCAAAAATGCTAATTTCTGTGAGAGAACTATCCATACAGGACAGGTGAGTGTCTGTATCACAAACCAAGCTTTATTCTTTTCAAGACAATCTAAACTCTTTTTAATGTATTTGTATGATTGATTGAACAGTTTTACAATAGTATCACTGCTCTGGAGGTTTACAGCCTCTTGTTCCAGGTTTAGTTGGTGTTAGGCAAACAGAAGAACTCACCGCAGGTCAGTGGGCAGGAGGTGGCCATCATCCTCAGCCTTGTCTAATTACAGCTGGGATGGGAGTTATGGCTGCTGCGGTATTTTGAATAGTCCCAGTGGGAGAAACGTGGCAGCAATTCAAAGTCCTGTTATGGAAATCTTTAATATTTAATACATCGATTAACATTAACAACTCGGGCAAAACTGTTTCAACAATTCCATTATTATTTGATATCTCTCCATAGAGCAATGATGGGTGGCATAATGAAAGGTAGATCTCTATTTCAACCTTGAAGGGTTGGGCAAAGTGCCAGTAATGAAGATGTATTAAACCTTAATGTAG